GAGGAAAATGTAAATGCCTTTTTGTTTGAACATTTCTTTCATTAAAATTTTTGGGTTATGATTAGATAGTTTCTTGAGCAAATTTATTGTACAAATCATAAATAACTTTGTAATCTACCACAGTAATCAATTCTTGTCACTAGAGAAATAATAATGGAAGAATTAGCACTTCTTTCCTAATTCATATGGATTATGGCATAAGATAAAACAATATGCTAAATTCTTACTTCACTAGGCTAATCTGATGAGATTTTATATTATATTTATACATTATTGTGTATTTTAAATATTAATGAAAGATTTAATTACAGCAGGATAGCTGCTGACCTTTTTGAAACGACTTGCTCATAAATCTCCAAACAATTCATGCTTTTCCAGGTTTATTTTTATTTTTTTAAAATTGCTCATAAATTAGTGGCATCCATTCTTTTTTTTTTAAATAAAGTTTTATTTGGGTTTTCACAAATACAAAATACAAGTAAAACATCTTTTTTGAAAATAGCATGGTCCCGGGTTGAACTTCTTTATACAGACACAAAACTCAATTTCATGCTCCTTTTTGTGTTCTATTCCATATCTTATACTATTCTACATTTTCTATATAGTTTTTCCCCTCTTTTAATTTTCTCAATTTTATTTTGATTATCTCATCTCAATTCAAATCATTATATTTATACTTTTGTCTGTTCTGTTTCAATTTCATATTATCTTTTCTCATTAAACAAATTTTCTTCTGTAGTTACTAATTGGAGTATGACACCTTTATATCTTTTAATTATATCCATTCAACTCTTATTTAAACTGCAGTATATACCTTAAAGTTATGACCTTCAATATAATACATAATACATAACTTCAAATTGAATTCCGCTTGGTACATTCTTATAATACACACTATATTCTTTTTTAAAAAAGGATTATAAATATATGTAATTATAAACCCTCATTTCATTCCAATTCAGTTCTATCATTAATAATCATTAAAATCTTAACATCTTTAACATTTCTTTTCAATTAAATATTATACTTTCTTAAAGACACATATAATCTCCATAATTAAATTTTCCCTTATTTCTTTTCACATATGTTTTGTAAATCATTAAATATTCATTTTGTTACATTTATTTATTGACAAGCATTCCACTGAATTACGATAGCTATTTTATCAAACATTTTAATCATACATTGTTGCATATTTTCTAAAATTATTTCTATTTCTAATATAACAATACTATCTTATGTACATTTGCAGAATCCCTTTTTCCATTAAATTTTCACCCTTTATCTCTAAATAGGCCCTGTTTCTCTATATTTTGTTTCTGTCCTTTATAACTTCTTTTCCTTTCTTTCTTCCCTCTCATCTTCTCTCTCCCCTTTTTACCTCCTTGTCTCTCTACTTCTAATTCTCTCTTTTGCATTTCCCTCTTCTGTTGCTTTCTGATTTTATACTTATTTTTCCCTCTATTCTTTTTTTGGGTTGTTTTTCCCAATCTTAAACTTTCCATTCTCCATTTCCCCCCTTTCCTTTTTTTCCCCCACCTAAGATTACTTGTTCATTAAAGATGGCTTCTTCTTTGTCGCAAACTTCTTGTTTTGCAGGCATTTCTTGTTGTTTCTCATAGTTCCAAATCTCCATTTCTAAGAACTGAAATATGAAGCCAAAAGAACCTCTCTCTTCTTGTGCATCTTCTTTGTACTTTTTAAGTTCCAATTTCAGTTCTTCTAAAAGTGGAGCCATTTTAAATAGTTTTAAACAACCACCCGATTGATTTTAGTCATTCAAATACAATAACCAAAAATCCAGAGATCACCAAGTAATCCAAATAGTCCCAAGCTGTTTTTTCTTATTTCTTTTTCCACTTTCTCTTCCTGGGGTTTTACTATTTGGTGCGATGTTTCAGTTAATATGTATCTTTTGGAAGTCTTGTTGAGATTTTGCTGTAAGTTCTTTTTAATTCCAGGCAGTCTCCTCCCTTCCAGATCCTGCCCTTTTATTCTTTTTCTCTCCTTTCCTATTTTCAAAAGCTTTTAATTATCCATAAATCTTTATTATCCCTTTGAGTTTTTATTTTCAGCATTAAATGCCTATTAATGTCAAAGTGGATTTTTTTCCAATTTCTTGCTTAAGTCTCTTAGCTGTCAGTATAGGAAAAGGAGAAAAAAAAACCAAATCTTTTTCCTTTTCTCTTTCCCTCACAGCTTAAAAATCTTCTTAAGGAACAATGTTATTGTTTTTTTAATAGTTTCAATTCCAGGATAGCTTATTTGTTGCTTTTGCTGTTTAACCCGGTCAACCAAAACTTTCTCTTTTTATCTTCCTCCTGCACATTCTTTTCCAGTCGAGTTCTTCTTTGTGGTAGCCATTTCTGACCACCGCTACAAACGCCTTCGGGAAAGGGAGTAATGGCCAGCTGGGGAGGAGAGATGTGGCTCTCCTCAACCCTGCAGGCAGTCTCCCCCTTCTTTACCACCTCTACGGGGTGGCTTAGCCCTGAAACCAGCTGGCTTGTGGTGCTCCAGCAGCGAGCATGGATCGAAACCTCGCAGAGATGAGGTTTCAGTCTGTTGCCGAAGAAGCTCAAACCGGAAGTAGTGGCATCCATCCTTGACTTGTTTTTGTTAAAGGCTGAGCATGCATTCTGAGTATGCTTTCTGCTCAGGCGGCTAAGGAATTTTCATAATTTATATTGAATGTTGATGGAATTTAACAGTAATATAACAGTCAGTTCCAAAAGTACATATTCTGGAAGGTATTGCTGTCCAAATCTAGCTGGGCTTCCATATTTATTGTTCTTCTGCAGTTTCAATTCAGTCCTGCTCAACTCAGAAATGAATTAGTGACTTTTGTTATTCACTTTTCAGACTATTGGCATGAACACATGTCTGCTTTCTTCTACCAATAACAAAACAACTCTTAAAAGTTGTCAATAGGATTCTAGCCTTACTATATAATTGATTATATAAAGAATAGCACTTCTCAAAGTAAGTTTTTTAAAGTGCTCAAACTGGCTTTGATCAAATCAACACAGGTATGATTTAATACATACAGATATATTGGAAGCAAAGATAAATACGTACCTTAGAATTTCAAGAAACTTATACCATAATTGATAACTAACTATTCCTCAATCAATGTGTAGTTTCAGAATTCTTAAGAACGGTCAGTTCCATTGGCTCAAAAGTATGAGAGTTGATCTATATATAGATCAAGAGTGCCTAGTTTGTGAAGGGGTGTTGTTATTGTTATTATTTTCAACCTGATTTTCAGATAAGGCAGTTCAAAGTTGTGCAGCAATTAGAGTGAATTTGGTAGAAAAAAAAGCAATAGTTATTTTAAAAAGTTTTCATTGTGACAATCAAAGGGCAAGGACAAAACAATTATAATCCTTTCAAGATCAGTCAAATTAGGATTAATACTACTGTAAGAACTATTGAAACCCTACTTTATTGTCAACAAATCTTGAAAGCCTGCCAGAATTTCCTACTGTCCCTTCTCATACTATACAGAATCAAAGTAGAGTTATTTTCTGTCTCTTTCTCATGCACTCACTTTTCATAAGACTGAGATGTTATTTACTCTTTTTTAAAAATCTGCTAATGATTCCTGCATTCATTTATCAATATGCCTCTGGCTTCTTGTAGAGCAATCTCTCCTAGCACTCAGAAATTTCTGCCTTCTCTACATCAGATGTTCCAAACAAAGATTAATATCTTCAAGGAAGCTTTTCAAAATACAATGGTCCACTACCTCCTTCCATCCATGCCAAACAAGGCTAATGCACTAATGCAGGGTGTTACCACCCCATTGTGAAAGAACTCTATGATTTAGTTATTCATATTAAATCACTAATCCAGAATTTCTGAAAAATATCTACAAAAGCTTTATAGCAGCCTTTTGAATCACTGTATTACTAAGAAGCATCATTTTATAGAATAGAATAGAACAGAATAGAACAGAACAGAACAGAATAGAATTACAAAGTTGGAAGAGATTTTGGCGACTTCTAGTCCAGTGGCACCAACCAGTGGGCCGTGGCCCACTGGTAGTCCGCAAGAAAATTTTGGTGGTCTGCAGAGAAATGTCACCCCAGAGCACCCCCCAAAGCAATTAATCCAGGCTGCATGGGAACACAAGGCTGCATCGACCACATGGCCCACAGGAATTCTCCCCGCCCACTCACTCCTTACCTGGTAAACTTGCCTAATAAGTTGCTATTTTTCCTCCCCCCCACCACCATAAGCTGTTCTGCTGTGCCAGGAGATTTAGATTAGCTAGAAAGCAGGAAACCATTGGATTTCTTGCTTTGTAGCTAATCTTTAGATCTTCAGACGAACCTTCCTTAGGACAGAAGCTTCTATTATGCAGTGCAGACTCAGGTAACTGATGGCAAAAAGATAGATTTCTGAGTGAATCTGTGATTCTGTGAGCAACTCCATCTGCCTGCCTGCTTTGCCTGATTTTGAGTAAAAGTTGCTCTTTTTTTATATAAAAAAATAAATATTTACATACATGGTGTGTTGTGAGTTAATTTTGTGAGTTTGCTTGCTAGAAAGTTTTAAGAGTTTGCTTGCAAGCAAATTTTATGTGACAGACTGAGCTAGCCGATGGCAGATAGATAGATCTCTGAGTGAATCTGTGATTCTGTGAGCAACTCAATCTGTCTGCCTGCTTTGCCTCATTTTGGGTAAAAGTTGCTCTTTTTTATAAAAAATTCAATATTTACATAAATATTTATAATATTTACATATAAGCTATGCCTAGCTAGTCACATGACCACCAAGCCACACCCATGAATTAGGCCATGCTCACATAACCAGTTGTTAAGAAATTTGAATCCCACCCCTACCTCTGTGTGTTTGTGTATGTGAGAGAGGGAGTGGAGAGTGAGAGGTTAGATCAGATCTCTCTCTCTCCCACCAATGTCAGCAAGCCACCATCAGTCAAAATTCATATTAGTGGTCCCCAGGATTTAAAATTATGAATTTGATGGTCTCTCTAGGTCCAAAAGGTTGGTGACCCCTGTTCTAGTCCAACCCGCTGCCCAGGCAGGAAACCCTGTACCATTTCAGACAAATTGTTGTCTAATGTCTTCTTTAAAAAAGAGCTTTAACATGCTGGTCAGAGAGTTCCTGCAATACATACCTCTATCATTATTCTTATGCAGTTAATGCAAAAGGATATGATCAAACATTTATTCCCTTTCACAAATATCATACATTCTCACTGCATTTTTCTAGCTCTTTAAGAGTTTTGTCTTTGATGCACTATGACTTGAAAAGACTTAGAAAAGATTAATCTGTCTCTCTGGTTCTAGCAGTCAATCCAACAAATCCAAATTTTGACAGAAACATTAAAAACGATATCACTGCCCTAATACAGTATCCATCAGACCATTAATATAAATTGAATATCATTAATTCCTGTGGTTAGTTATATTCTCAGTTTTACATTCTGTAGGCCAAAGATATATTTATGAACTCATTCATACATTTTATTCCACCATTGGAGGTATTTATGTCTATGGAACACCTTATTTCTAAAAAGGCATAGTGTGCTCAAGCTAGCATGACTTAAACAAGAATAATACATAGAATGTTTCCTACTTCCAAGATTCAATTGCCAACAGTCCAGCAATTTCCTTCTCAAAGATGCAAGCTCTTCTAAGATTACTCCCTACATAATACTGCATTGGGGTGGTAGTAAAGGCTCTACAAATAAATTTCAAAATTTCCTTTGGATAATATCCTGTAATATCCTGAATATCCATGGAATATCTACTGCCAGCAGCTTCTGATGAACCAATAAATTGAAAAAAGTATTATTTATTCCAGGAGCCTTTCTTTATGGATTGCCTTCAGCTGGACCAAAAGAATCATACTTACTGTCCCTTGCAACCCCATTTCTTTGGAGTACTTTGCCAACTAATATCAGCCTCCATACTGTTGTGTCTGAGGACAGGTATTACCAGTGGTGGGATCCAAATTTCTTAACAACCGGTTCCATGGGTGTGTCTTAATTTGTGGGTGTGGCTTGGTGGTCATGTGACTGGCTGAAGCCACGGTCTTTCTCTCTCTCTTCCTGTCTCATTCCTTCTTTTTCTCTCTTTTCCTCTCTTTTTCTCTCTCCCTCTCTCTCTCTCTCTCTCTCTCTCATTCTCTCTGTGTCTCTCTGTCTCTGCCTCTCTCTGCCTCTCTCTCTCTCAAAGCCGCGGCTGGGCCAAGCCAGCAAGATTTCCTTGGTGCTCTTCACTACTTCTTTCATTTCTTCTTTTTGGAATCCAGACTAGCTGAACAATTATCGCCAGCTGCGGTGGAAGTGTCCCTTCAGGCGACCCTTCTCCTCTTCCTCCTCCTCTTGCAACTGGTGACTATGGCAGGGCTGGAAGGGTGCACACGCATGGGGAGATACTCCTCAAGTGAGCAGCCACCCACTCCTCTCCCGGTTTTGCTGTGGTTTGGCACATGCTTGAGGAGCATTTTCCCTCATGTGTGCCCCCTCCCAGCCCCATCACAGCCTCTGGTCACAATAGAAGGACGAGGTGGAGGAGGAGGAAGAGAAGGGTTGCCCAAAGGGATGCTTCCACTGTGGCTGGTGATCATTGTTCAGCCAGTCTGGATTCCAAAAAGAAGAAATGAAAGAAATAACGAAGAGTATCAGGAAAGCTTGTTGACTTGCCCCAGCCACGGCTTTGAGACACACACACACACACACACACACACACACACATGCACACAAACACACACACACACACACACACACACAGAGTGGGGGAGAGAGAGAGGAAGATGGCTACTTCACTATTCCCCACCGTCGCCCTTACCTTCTCAGGCCAGGCAAGGGAGGGGAGGGTGAGAAGCAGGGCCAGCCGCTTCGGGCAAGGTGAAGAAGCAGTGATCAAGCACAGGCAAGTAGAAGCCTGGGAGCGGCGGCTCCCAGCTCAGCTGGCCTGAGGGGCTTTGAGGTTGGATGGCCAGGAGTGGCCGAGATCTGAACAAGCATTGCACCATGCGTTCACCTGAATGCCCATTTCTTTAAGGAGCCACAGGGCTGATGTACGACAGCAACATTTTTAGCTGTGCTCACTTATAAGTGTCCAAATAATCCAGTGAAGACACTGGAGGAGTTGCTCACGTAGACCTCCCTCCTCTGCAGATCTCCTCCTGCAGAAAACGGCCCTTCCCTGACCTAAGAAGGCAAGGAGCTACAGCTCAGCTCACCCAATTCCTAGGACTATCCCGAATAGTCCTAATTTGGCATGGAGAGGGCGGCTGTCCCTTGCAATCCCCCTTTCCCTTAGTGCTCTGACTTCCTGTGGCCCACTGGCCTGAACGCCAGGTTGGACCACTAGAAGGCTACTTCCCTTTTTCTCAGCAGTGCTCCTGTGCCAGCCACCACAAGACCCTCCACCTCCTTCTCCCTTAACTTCAAAATGACTATGCCTGTTGCTGACATGGGTGCAACTAGGAGGGCTTGGTGGGGGCAACCAGGGGCAATTGTTCCAGGTCCAACAAAGGGGCTGCGGTTGAGAGAGAGAAGGGGTGGCAGTTAAAGGAGCCATGCAGGCAGCAATGTGTCATGCTCCCTGATCTCCCACCCCCACTTCCATCCCCCGCTGGCAAGACCCAGCAGCTGCGATGAATCCGAGCTAAATTTTACTGTACAGAACATTGTGTTCTCCTGCTTCTGGGAGAGCAAGAAAGTCTTTCACAGCACAGCAAAAAGTTTGCAAGTTCCCCTCCAATAGGGAAACAGGTGGCTCCAGGCAACAGAGAAGCAGCTTGATTGAATCCTATTTCTCTCTGTTGCCCAGAAATATGCCGGAAAAGACTCTCTTGCTTTCCCAGCAGCAGGAGAACATGAGCCTCTCCACATGTTCTCCGGTACAGCTAAATTTAGCTCGGGTCCCCACCAGTCTGCATCTTGCCCCCCACCTGGATTCACCACAGCTGCTGGGGGTCAAGGCAGTGGGCAGTGGAAACAAAAGGCAAGTGGAGTGGGGTGGAAGGTGACCGACAGTGGCAGGTAGGTGACTGGGCTCTGGAGCTTGCAGAGCCTCACTCACCCAGGGAGATCAGGCAGGGCCACAGCGGAAGGCATGCAGCAATGGCTGGCCTGGTGGGTGGGCAAAAGCAGGTGCAGGCGATGCTGTGTATGTGCGATAAGGACTGACTGGGCATGGAGTGGAATGGAGGGGCGGGTGGAGAGGAGCGGGGCCAGCCAGTAGTGCGATTTGCTGGTTCTCCGAACTGTGCAGAATCATAACAACCGGTTCTATAGAACCAGACAGAACCAATGGAATCCCACCCCTGAATTTTTAGAACGCTGAAAAAGGGGTACAACAGAATTTATAACCCCAACACTGAGTTATGCTTGGAGGTTTTGTTCTTAGCAGGCTTACTTTTACTGTTAAATTTACTTTTGTTATTATTTTGTAATAATGGATTTCATTTTATTGTACCCTTTTTCTTGGAGGGACTGCCCCTGATCTGTACATATATTTTTGTCATTCATGTAAGTTGGAGAAACAATTATTTTCATCTTAAATATTTTTTTATCTGTTCTGCTTGAATTACATTTACTGAAGTATTGTTTCTGCCTGAATTATACATATTAGCTACATAGTTCTTCTTTTAAATTATTTCATTAAAAAATAACTAAAATTCTATTTTATGATGACATATTCCTTTTCACTCAAACAAATATTTTACCTTTTATCATTTTTATTTGAAAATACTGCTCTATCTGGGGATCCATCAACGTGCATACTCATATATACACATTCCCAGATAATGGTATGAGACGATTGTTTTTCTTTCAGACATCAACATTAATATTTTATTTTAAATGTTTTTATTTATTCAATTTCTATAGCTGCCCAACTCAACCAAGTGACTCTGGATGGCTTAAAATTCTAAAATTATAAAAGAATTAAAATAAAATACAAACATCTGAGATAATTTCCAAGTCCTAGGTCTAGGTGCATAAAGTTTTTAAAGCCTTGCAAAAGGCCAAAATATTTGGGAACATTCTACTCCCTGAAAAAAGAACATTCCTTAAAGCAAGAGTTTTAGCAAAATATATATATATATATTTTGCTAAAACTCTTGCTTTAAGGAATGTTCTTTTTTTTCTAGTTCCCACCAGTTGGCATCCTTCAGCTGATGGAATCTGCAGCCATTAGAAGGAGTTGGATGGAAAGAGATTATTGAAAAAAGTGGTTCTTCAATCTGTGTTGGCAGTCTTGGGACATATATCCATTCAGAGAATGATCATTCACTTATTTATTTCTCTCAGTATCTGCTGCTACTTCTTTCTCTTAGGTGGGACAATGCCAGGGAGAGTATATATTTTCTCAATTGGTGGAGGTTTAAGACAACCTGTCATTAACTGTATTATTTTGTCGATAGTGATATCAATCAGCTTTGCTTTGTGTGTGTGGATGCGCCCCACACTGGAACAGCATGCCTTGCTGCAGAGACACTCCAGGCCAAAGCTGACATGTGCAACATAGATAATTGAACTCCCTAGTTGTATTTTATCAATTTCCTGATGATATTGTTTCATGAGCTGATTTTAGCCTCAGTATCCAGGTAATGCTGTTTAAAAGAGAGCATCCTGTTGAGTGTCATGCCAAGCTATTTTAGTGTTGGACATACTGTGTTGGTTCCCTTGCCACAATGCCACAAAATATCCATTTTTTCCCTTACATCTCAATTTTGGAGGTGAAAAGCACAGCCATTGGGTCTTATTTAGGTTGGGCTTTAAATGGTTGATGTTGGGGTTGGATTCTATAAGTTCGCAGCGGTTCGGTAAAACCGATTGTTACAATTCCCGATAGTTCAGAGAATTGGTAAAACAGGCCCCTGGCTGTCCCTGTCCCTCTCTGCCCGCTCCTCCGTTCCTTTCCCAGTCAGTCCTTATCACTCATGTGAAACATCATGTGCATGTGCAACAATCGTTGACAGCATTCTCCCCCCACCCACCCCATTCCACCCTGCCCAGTCACTC